CAGAGAGTGTGGTAAATGATGTGGAGGAGGAACATGATTAAAAGCTCTCCCTGCCCCCTCAGTCCTAGGACTGACATGTTTCATTTGGGAATCACACAAACTCTGTGGAGTGAATCTCATTCACTGGATGGTTGGAGAAGGCAAAGAATATATGAGTACTTGTTCATAGACTATAGACCTCTAAAAAAACTAGTAGTGTTTTCCTAGAGAGGGATACCTTCTTTCTATGCAAATTCACAGTAGTTTGATTCACTGGAATCTGGAGTGATAATTCAAACCTATGCAAAGTCCACTAAACCCATTTCCTATGACTTACTAGTTATGCTTTAAGTCTCCAAATCAAATCTCTACGTTTGTCTTTTAAATCCCACAGAAGTTTTTTCTAGATCTTAAAACAGTTAAAAGAAATCTATGTCTGTTTTTCTATTAGATTATATTCATCCCCACCCCTGGCTGACTGTCAACTTCCCTCATTTCATCCACTTTAAAACTGCAGTCCTAGCAGCTTATGGCTTGGTGAGCATGTCAAAACAGGGTTATGTTTTCAAAAATTAAATTTGAAACCTTGCTGTGCTCTAAAATATCCTTTGGCAAGGACATGGCTATAGGATATTTTCCCCTCTGAAATTTCAGAAAAGATGTTTATTTTTATCATTAGCATTGTTCATCTGTTCATTCATTCTTACTCATTTATCTGAAACTATATCATGTACTAAATGCTAAGAATATAGAAGGAAATATACGCCCTCCTGCTCTCAAACACCTGAAAGTTTACTGAAGTCACAGACACAAACACAGACACACACAGAATTACACCACTGTGTGCTAAGATCTTAATGTTTGTAAGCTCAAGTATATGCGGGGAAATGTGCTAATTCAATAGCTTTACATTTTAACATGCCACTTAAAATCCATGACAAAGTACAAATTAATCATTTTTATTCTTTTATAAGGTTCTTAAAGTGATTTATCCTTAACAGAAACTATAGATCAGAAATACAGGAAGAGTTTGGCCCAGCGTGATTGCTATGATGATTAGCTTAGGTAGGGAAAATGTCATTTAGAATTTAGTAAGTCAGTGCCCGGGGATGCTTACACCACCTGTCATTCTCTCTTAACAGCTCTGAACTTGGTCAACTACTTAGAATATTATTGCACCATCTTTCAATCTCTGGCTGCAGTAGCTTAACACAGTCACTGACACTTTTTTTTTTTTTCCCCTGCAATCTAAGTTGGTATGGACAAGCATTTTTGAAGGCAGCCCTAAGGCCAAGGAGAGTATTTATATCTACTGCCATTCAGAGAATAACTGAGCCAATAACGCATTTGATAGATCTTGCACTTTTCCCATTATGTTTCTGAGCTTCCTCTGGGTATTCTATGAAAGACTGTAGATGTTCTTAATCAAGAAAAACAACATATTTCTTCCATCATTCTGTATTTGCTATGTTTTCATTTACACAGATTTCATGTCAAGTGATATTGAAGTTCAAAAGTATTTTCTTTATCCACTGGAACATGTACAATGGTTCTAATGTATTGGTATTCATTGACCACATTTAATTAATTTTGATAGGCTAGGAGATGCATTGTGGCTTTGCATATAAACATTTTCTTTCTTAATATAAGACTACATGAAATTCAGGCATTGCCGGTGCAGTTAAAAAAGCAAGTACCTAGCAAAGCTCCAGTGTGAATATAAAAATCCCAATTTCCTTATAGTTGAAAACTATGTGAAATGCTGAAGTGTCCAAGATGCTAATTGAATTTCATTATTTCAGTATGGAGAACTCTATTTCTAAGGCTTCCTGACAGTCCCAACTCTTCGTGCTTTGAAAACCTCTCTAAGATAGATTTGTTAGATGATAGATAGGTAAAGGAAATAAGGGGAAACGAGATATTGAATCTGTCAATATCTACAGAGTACAAACTACACAAAGAGTTTGATTTAAGCAACTAAAAATATCTTTTGGTTAAAGAATTAAGTAGGGAATCTGTTATATTCTCATCCATTATGTTTTTCACACCTGAAGTGGAAACTAATTCAGGGCTATTGGAGGGGGGAGCAAGAAATAAAAATGGGCTAACTCATCAAGTATATCATGGAGATGAACATACTAAAGAACTCACATCTTTCCACTGTGAAAACATTTTTAAAGATTTATTCATTCATTTATTTGAGAGAGAGAGAGAGAGAGCACGTGTGCACAGGGGGAGAAGCAGAGGGAAAGAGAGAGAGAGAGAGAGAGAATCTCAAGCAGATTGCCCACTGAGTGCAGCGCCTGACTCGGGTCTTGACCTCACAAACCTGAGATCATGACCTGAGCCAAAATCGAGACTGATACTTAACTGACTGAGACACCCAAGCAACCCTCCACTGTGAAAGCATTTTAATTCATAAACCTGGGATGCTATATCTAGGATCAAAGCAAACAGTGTTTTATGCAGTAATCATTTCTTCCTTTACTTTCATATCATCATAATGTGAAGATTCTGAAACATAGTATTTGAGGGTTCTTAATAAGATTAAGCCTTTCTATTGATTACTAGATGCCAACTCTCCCCTTTAATATGTCTACATTTCACCAGAATCTGTAACTGCTGTTTTTACCTAAATTACTCTTTATTTGCAAAGATTATGTAAGACAAAGAAAAGAACTGACCCTGTGTGATGATAAAGTTATGTTTTTTATTGCTCCTGAGAAATGGAAGATGCAAGAAAATCCCTTTCTTAATATTATATACTTCATTTGGAAAATTATTATTTAGATTACTAGGTAAATTGTCTAATATGCTAACCTCATATTCTGAAATTTTTAGCAAGCATAACTTAAAATATATGAATTCACAGAAACCACATGCCTTCAATTACAAGTCACTGCAGCAGTGATAAATCCTTCATACAGGAATTGTTTGACTGATGCTCTTCATGGATAGTTGGCAGGAAGATAAGAAGAGGGATAATATTTCCTATATTGGTTTTAGTAAACTGATAAACACACAGGGAATGTGACAAGTGATCTACACAATCAAATCTATCAGACTGCAGAAAATTGAAACTAACTTTAAAACAGAAGTAAAGCTGGAAAATCTTCTTGAGTTTGCTGAATTCAAATATTCCTTTTCATGTTCTCAAACTTGTAAAAATTAAAATATTATATATTAGCCTAGAAACTCTGCTACAGTTTAATTTATTACAAATCTTTCATCTCAAGAACTAGGTTATTTTTAAATGCAAACATTAAATAATGCAAAGCATTCCACTAAATGGCCTTTTCACATAATGAAAAAACTCAAGCTTATCAGAACAAATATATTACATAGTTTGCTCCTTTATCATTATTTTACTATATCTAAAACATTACGCTTAATGATCCAGTGTGATTCCTTGGACCTAGCAACATAAAGAAACCAGTATCACCTATGAGTCCTAATTTCATAAGGGCTAAAAAAGTCAAGGTCATGGAAACTCCTGGAATCCTTTATACATGATATGTATTCATTCACATTGGGTAAATTTTTTTTTCAAACTGTGAACAAAGAATTGTGGAAGATGCCATAGTCAATGCTTTAAAATCACTATGCACTATGGCAGATTTGAACTTTTTAAAAAGAATAATTAGAATTTGAAAAAAATAAAAAATATGGGTAATGATGAAAAATGATGGAATAGAGATAATTTAGTCCAGAGAATTTATGAACCTGAATTTAGCCAACTTCTGTAAGCCAGTTTCCACAAACCTAGTAAAAAGAGTGAAGGCAACCTTCTCACATAAGATCATGTATTAATTCATCTCTGAACATTTATGGACACTATATGCATCAAAGATCATTAGACAGCAATGTTTCTGAATGCTTTCTTTTTGTCTAAAGAAAAGAAAATGCTTACTATTTCCTACCTTCCTTCATATTTTTCCTTTAGCTTCTCTGCCTTATAATATCTGCCCAATCCCTCCTCTCCAGTCTTCCCTATGGACTAGCTGTATTTTCATACATTTAGCAAATACTAATTGAGCACCCACCATACTTCCTGGTCAGTGGCAATGCAATACTGAGCAAGAAAATGTCCCTGCACTTGTGGAGCTTACATTCAAGTGGCAAAGTTGAAAAAAAAAAAAATGAACAAGTAAACTTGTAATTTTGGGTGTTGATATGTGCTATGGAGAAAATGTGGCAGGATATAGGAAATGAATAGAGTGGTAAAGGCACTAGGGCACTCTTTTTAAGGAAATCTTGTTAAGAGGCAGAGATACCTAGTCCACTTTACTATCTAGAGAAAATATTCTCCTGTAAATGTATCAGCAAATACCAGAGGCCTGAGGTGAGAACCAAACTAATGTGGTAGAAACAAAACAGAAAAGAGTGGTAGCAATGGGATAGTTCAGATCCTACTGGATCAAAATCCTAAATTCAAGTCAGTAACAACCTTACAGTCCCAGAATAGCCTTCGAAAAATGTGATTTTCCATTCTTCTTTAAAAACACAAGAATATTCTTTCAAATTAAAATCTAAAATTTGAACATAATATTAAAATAATATTTTAGTAACAAGTATTAATAATCACAAGAAGTGGTTACTGGCAATAGCTGTATAATCTTTTCAAAATATAATATTCATAAATAATATTTATTCATTCCCTAAATATTATCAGGCTTCTGCAATATGAATATAGTAATATTGACACTGAAAATATAGTGATAGAGGCATGGTTTCTGCTTTCAAATTAATTACACTAAAAGCTTTGCTAGATAAACATAAGATATTAAAATAAAACCAGATGATCCCTGTATTTTCCCTTCACATGAGTTTAATATTGGATTGATATTGTTTAGTTATTTCTAACCACTTCCTTTTTTTATTGCAAGCTCTAAAAGCAAAAATTTTATCTGGTTTATTTATTGTTGTATCCTTGCCTCAGAACAGAGTTTCAAATACAGTCAGCTTTCAATAATTACTTATTGCCGGAATAAACAAACTAATAAAGCCAATAAAATCAACAATCACAACGTGTGATAACAAGAAATGGAACACACTTTGGGCCAGGAAACTGTCCCAGAAATAACTTCTCGGCCCGTCAGAGGCAAAGAGAGCCCGCGGCCCTGAGGAAGAGGAGACTGGGAGTCCCGAGCCCCCTGCAGCTCCAGCCTCGGCCTCCAGACCTGGCTCGCGCCGAGACCCAGGATGTTCGCCTTCAGGAATGACTCCATCTGTTTCCCGGATATGCCCTCCACGCGTTCCAAGTCCTCCACCTGGCTGAAGGGGCCATGGAGCTCCCTCCAAACCACGATGAGCTGCGCCTTCTTTTGGCCAATGAGCTGCAGGCTGCGCAGATCCCGGGCAGAGCCTTCATTCAGCAGATCTAATATTTTTTGGCGCCCATGAGCCAGTAGCTCCAGGCTGATCTGTAGCTCCCAGCAGTCCTCAGCCTTCTCCTCTGGCTCTGAAGCATCCAGGGACTCCAGCTTTCTCTTCTGGCCTTTCTTCTTCAGGATGTGGATCTCAGCATTTGGGGATGCTGCCTGCTCCTGAATTAGTTGTAAGGGCATCACCACAGCCTTTTTGAGGGGCTTTGCTACAGTGACTGTGCGGCGGGCAAGCGGTCGGAGCATTGTGGGAGACGAGTTCTCTTTATCCTTTGGGTCCACAGCCTCCTGGGCCAGAACCTTGGCTTCCAGTTCTTTTTGCTTCATCTTAAGCCTCTCAATCTCCAAATCCTTCTCCTCCATTATCTTCATGAGCACCATCCACTCTCGCCTTGGGGTGTTCAGCCTGTGGGTCCCCTGGCTCCCCTGGGAGCCCAGCAGAAGGTCCAAGCTTAGGAGAACTCCAGCACAGTGGGGTCCATGCTACTTAGCTTCTGTAGGGGGCTGAGTTCCTGGGAGGCTCGGAGTGCAGGAGAGTTCCTTGAAAATGGATCCCAGACAAGATTATGGCAGAGTGGAATTTTTAGGCACCTGGAAGAGTTACTGAGAAGTGAGGGGAAGCATTTTAAAGAGACAGAATGGTTTTTAGGAAGGCATATGGTTGAGAGAACATTTCATTCATTCCCTGTTACTGGAGTAAAGAATATCTATGAAAAAAATGGTTTGTGATAAGAGTCTTCTATGTCATGCTAAGTAGTTTGTATTTCACACCAAATGTGATAAGAATTGACTGAAGGAATAGTTCCATTACTCTGCCATTTAGGAAGATTAATCTAGTGGGAATGAGGAAGATGTACTGTAGGAGGCAAGAACAGGGCACAAAACCCACTAGGAAGTGTGTGTAGTACTCCAGTTAGAAACAATTAAAGTAGTGATGAAAGGGATGAAGCAGAAGGAACATGGAAGAACACACACCAAGACATGATGACTGCATGTCCAGAATAAGAGGATGAGAGTTGCCTATGTCAGTTCAGCAACTATTCACTTTGGGACAGTTCTGAATTTGTCCAGGATTTATCTCTACTAAAGGGAGAAAATAGACAAACATTCTTTTCTTGATACGTAATTGCCATTTAAAAAAATTCAAAATGTCTATGTTCAAGCTCTACCTCTGCTTTTATGATCTAGTCATTTAACTTCATTTGGTTTCCTATGAATAGAATTTGTTAGAAAATCAAAAGGATAATGGATGAGAAAGTATTTTAAGTTATAAATGGGTCTATAAATATCAGTGTCCTTATCTTCTTATTTTTCTCCACTACTTGTACTTTCTATTCTCTTACATATTTAGTTTTTATTTAAATTTTCCCCCAATCTCCTACCTATATTATTTTTCTTCTTCACCTTCTCTTTCTTATCTTTATTCTCTTTCAACACAATGAAATAGCTTATTAGTGCCATATTAATGATCTCACTATTAGAGAACCTTCAACAAAGCTTTAGACTATTTCATGTATCTAGACCATAGGAAGTATTCATATATTCTAATAGTTACATAAAGTCTGTCACAGAGCATAAATTTTGATATTAATAACAATGGTGATAATAAGAAGTTGATATTTTAAAAAGATTTAATGAGCTCCAGATTTAATGAGCTTTGAATTATTTTATTAAATCCTTATTATAATCTTGAATATAAGTGGTATTATCCAATTTTACCTGGACACTGAGTCCTAAGGAAGAATATGTAGTATACTTAGCATATGAAGTTGGAGATTAAATTCACATAGGTATATCTCCAAATACTTTACTCTTAGCATTCACTCTCTCCCACAGAAATATACTCATTGAGTCAGGCTCCTATCTCCTCTTTTAAGTTTGTTCATTCTATAAGCATATATTGGGCATGGTACAGTGTCTAACCTTAGAAAAAAGCCACAACAACATATACAGGGTAATGTGAATAAGTATTAAACAAATACATGTAAATAAATTATAATTATTTATAAATAAATATAAAGCATTCTACATATGAAATTATTTTGAAATTGAAGAATTTGTTAAACAAAGTACAAAGACATACAGGGGCACCTGGGTGGCTCAGTTGGCTAAGCAGCTGCCTTCAGCTCAGGTAATGATCACTGGGTCCTGGGATCGAGCCCCACATGAGTCTCCTTGCTCTGCGGGGGAGCCTGCTTCTCCCTTTCCCTGTGCCTGCTGCTCTGCCTACTTGTGGTCTCTCTCCATATCTCTAATAAATAAATAAAATCTTTTAAAGAAAAGTATAAAGCCATACAAATATACAACATGTTCAGAAAAAATTAAATATTTCAAGGTATCAAGGAAACAGCATTCTTCACCTTGGGGAATGCAAACCCCTAAAGACTTTTCAAAGGTAGCAAGGCTTAGAGGGTTTTAAGTCAGTGGAGGGCTTAATGACATACATGTAGCAGGGCTCTATGCTCAGAGTTTCTGACACAGTGGTCTAAGTTGGGACAAGAAACAACATTTACCCATGAATACATGAAACAGTATAGAAAGAAAAAAATCCATCAATTTTATTATTAGATGTATTTCAAATAAAATGTATTTTTATCAGTAACACTAATATACCAATTTATGTAATATGTTTAGATTTAAAATATGTACACATACGCGCACACACACACACACATGAGTGAGCTCTTGTCATTTGTGACAATATGAATCAACCTATGGTATTATGTTAAGTAAAATTAGTCAGACAGAAAAAGATGAATACCATGCAATTTCACTAATATGTGAAATCTAAAAAACAAACAAACAAACAAAATCCCAAAACTAACAAATAAAGAAGAATACAGAAACTAAACTAGTGGTTGTCAGAGGGGAGAGGGTGAGGGGTGAGCAAAATGGGTAAAGGGGAGTGGGGGACATAGGCTTCCAGTGATTGAATAAATAAGTCACAGGAACCAAAAGAATAGCAAAGGTAATATAGTAGTGGTATTTAATGGTGCATAGTGACAAATGTTAGCTATACTTTTGGTGAGCATAGCAAAATATAGTTGTTGACTTATTTGAAACTAATGTAACATTATGTGTCACCTATATTTCAGTAGAAAAATAATTAAAATGCCAAACCATACCAAAAATAAGTTTCATATGACAACTTTGAGTTTAACACATTGGTAACTAAAATATACTAGAAATTATATTATTTGTAACTAGTTACTTTTGTGATAAAAAGGACTTAACTGTTATCTTAAAATGTACAAGGGATATTATATTATTATTTAAATAATTCTTAAGAATATTCTCAGGCAAAAATATGTAATGCACTTTAGCATAGATTATATAAGAGAGGTGTAAACTACACCAGAAGATATAGAATGAACACTTGGTACAAAACATGGGGTACTTTAAATATCTTGCTAAATCTTAAAATTTCTGTAAACAAGGGTTTTCACTTTAGGGAGTGGCCCTATTGGACTTGAGTAGGAAAAAGATAACTCTGGTTGCAATGTAATAAATGGGATGGAATAAGTGAGAAACCAAAGGCAGTTGGGATGCATTTAGGTGATTAATACAATAGACAATTGTAAAAAATAGTCCCAGCTAAAAATAATAGTGGTTTCCTAGTGAAACAGTGATAACAAGGATTTATAAAAACAAACAACAACAACAAAACTGGGTGCAGGGTTGGGGGGAAATTATTGAGATAAAATGTCTACAAAATGGGGAGTGAATGCATGAAACAGTAGTTCATTCCCCTTTATCTGCAGTTTCATTTTCTGTGGTTTCAGTTGCCAGTGGTCAGTTATGGTCCTGAAGCAAATGAGCCTCCTGACATTTCAGGCAAAAGGCAACAGTAGCCTAATGCTATGTCACAATGCCTATGTCATTCATCTCACTTCACCTCATCATGAATGCATTTTATCATCTCACATCATCACAAAGAGAAGGACCACATTCATACAACCTATATTACAGTATATTGCTATTATTCTATTTTATTATTAGTTACTGTTGTTAATCTTTTACTATGCCTAGTTTATAAATTAAGCTTTATCATGGGTAGGGGTGCATAGGAAAAAACATAGTATAAATAGGGCTTGGTACTATCCATGTTTTCAGGGGGGGGTCTTAGAACATAGCCCCCACAGACAAGGGTGAACTACAGTAAAAGAATCAATGATGACTCTCAGTAGGCAACACTCAAATTTTTATCTTTGTATCTATCTACTATCTACCTATTTATCATCTGTCTATCCATTCTGTCTCCCTGAACCATTTGAATAAGCTATATATCTGTTTATCTAACTGCGTCCTGGAAGCCTATTTGGATATTTCCGCAGTGAATGTCTCAAATAGAACTAATTATCTACTTGTCACTATACAAATCTCTTCCTCTCTACACTCTCATATATTCTTGAAAAAAATGTGCATTATTTTGTTGTTGGGTAAAGCATTCTTTAAATGTAAATTAGATCTCATTGACTGATGGTGTTTGACCAGCTCTTCTATAATCATTCTGATTTACTGCCGGTTCCATCAATTACTCAAAGAGGTTGTTGATAATAAATGTCACATATGAAAAACCCACAGCTAAGATTATACTCAATGATTAAAAAAAAAAAAAAAAACAAAAAAAACAAAAACAAAAAACAAACCTGAGAGCGTTCTCCACAAAATCAGGAACAAGACAAGGATGTCCTCTCTCACCACTTTTATTCAATACAGTCTTGAAAGTCCTAGCTACAGCAATCAGAAAAGAAAAAGAAGTAAGGGTTATATATATTGGTAAAGAGGTAAAACTTCCACTATTTGTGGACGACATGGTACTAAACAGAGAAAACCCTAAAGGCTCCACCAAAAGAATTGCTAGAACTGAAAAGTGAATTCAGTAAGATTGAAGGATACTAAATCAATGTGCAGAAATCTGTTGCATTTCTATACACTAATAATGAAGCAGCAGAAAGAGAAATTAAGAAAACAATCCCAGTTACACTTGCACCAAAAATTATAAAAATTTTATAAAATTTTATAAAAATATAAAAATTATAAAATAACTAGGAATAAACTTAACTAAGGAGGTAATAGAACTGTACTTTGCAAGCTAGAAAATGTTGATGAAAGAAATTTAAGATGACACAAAGGGAAACATATTCCATCTTTATGAAATGAAAAATATTGTTAAAATGTCTATGCTACCCAAAACAATCTATGCATTTAATGCAATCTTTATCAAGATATCAACAGCATTTTTCAAAGAACTAGAAAAAACAATCCTAAAATTTGTATGGAATTACAAAAGACCCCAAATAGCCAAAGCAATCTCGAAAAAGAACAACAAAACTGGAGGTATCACAATCCCAAATTTCAAGATAAACTACAAAGCTGTAGTAATCAAAACAGTACAGCACTGTCACAAAAACAGATCAATGAAACAGAATAAAAAGCCCAAAAATA